TTGAGGAAGTTGGATGTTTTGCCGCGGCTCCATTTTTATACTCGGCAAAGCAGCCAGAATATGATTCAAGCTCAGACGGTTTCAGCCGACTGTGGGTAACTTCCTAAAAAACCGACACTCACTCAATAAAAAATTTTCAATGAGCAAAATCAACACCTCCCCCATTCAACAGCGATGGTGGATGAAAAGCCAACAGCCGCTAGCTATGGTTAGTTATGCATAACTGCGACAACCTTTAGCAAAGCTATTTCAACGAGAAAAGCAAGGGCATGTTTCCGTTTCATTTTTTCCCACTGTGGACAACTGTCTCGGCTGTGCATGATTGACTGTTGGAAAAAGTGCTTTTTGACCAAAAGCTTGTATGCGCGTCATGCTCTTTGTCACATTTGCTCTCGTGAGAAACTCAAAATCAAACTGACAAAAGCCTCTTTTTCAGACGCAAGTGTTACCTAGGAAGTTTTGAGAATGAGAAATCTACCTTTCTGACTTCCAATCCATCCTCGTCGACTTCACAGGTGAAAACAGCATTATCTTCACCAAACTGGGCAAAAACTTCGTCTTCTTCCAATGCTCCATCGTCATCTACAAACATCGCAAATATTGATTTTCAAAAATGAAAATCAGAAAATCGAATAAAAATTGGATTTACCGCTGCTCTCCGGTTCGTACATATCTGCAGATCGGTCTGCTATATCGGCTACAGAGTCCGAGCAGCGTTTTTGCGGTGATTTTGAGGATGGCCTGAAGAAAAATTTGAAATTTCTTGAGAAAAACAACTAAAAGACAACTAAAAGAATGTCGCTCAAATCTTTGCGAATCAATGCGCAGAGAATTTATTCTACACCAAAGTATCTCCATAACATTTGAAAACGGCCGTTTTGGAGGGCTAGGAAAAAATAGCCACTAGTTGGTGCGCTTGGTCCAGGCATATGTTAGTAACTACACAATTTTAACCTTTTGTAAATTTGAGAGCAAAATTACTACGATTTAGTAAGCTATTAAATTTCAGACTAGAAAATACTCTTTTCAAGATGAGAGAATAGTTTGTAGATGGTAATAATTTTCAACGCCAAACTGTTACTGTACCATACGCAACTTCGTAATTTTGATCGTCTTTACGTTTCCACAGCAATACCTCCTGCTTACAAAAA